ATTGCTTTATTTGACGTTATTAAAATTTTGTACCAATTCTTAGCGCTTTCAATTACTTGCAGGATTTTATTTACGAAGATGAATTGAACAACTTCGTCAAGGCTGGAGTTATTTCCGAGCTCGTCCTTGCCTTCTCGCGCGAAGGCCCAACTAAGGAATATGTTCAACACAAAATGACACAGAAGGTGCCAACCATTTTTTTATTCCCAAGAATCTATATCTTAGATATTTTTTCATTTCCTATTTATAAATTTTAGTATTTTTTTAGTGGTGTTTAGATTTTTGTCTAAATGGACACGTTTCGAAATATAACAGGCTTCGGATGTGTGGAGCATGATCTCCCAAGGAGGGTATGTTTATGTGTGTGGTGATGCTAAGGGCATGGCACGTGACGTCCACAGAACTCTCCACAACATTGTGCAAGAACAGGTATGTGTAAAAACTATACACTCACTGGGAAGATTTTAAAAAATACATAAATAAATAAATCTGTCAACAGTTTTCCCTTTATTTGTAACCACGTGGTGCTTTTGTTTATCGGGGTCTACTGATTCTTGGTGCAACTACTTTTTCACATCCTTTTTGTGGTTCTCGAGTTAAGAGGGAGCTTCTTGAACACCACTACATTTGGCCCAGTCCTTTTTTGTTGATTTTGTCTTGAGATGCTGATAGATGTTTTTTTATATACATGACAACTGCTCATTTATTATCAATACTATTGTTTGTATTAAGGGTGGGGGACCATTTTAGGCTTTCTTGAAATTTATAGACAGCTTCCACTATTAAGGGAGTGAAATTATCATATTCCTGTGTATGCTTCTAAGAATATAGTTAAAATTGTTCAAACTCAAAACCTTTTTTAACTTGCTTTTGCTTGGTACCTTTTGATTTATGACAATTCAAGATTTAAGCAGTTTGAACAACTCAGAAAACTTTAAACGAGAGCTTGTAGTAATAACTAGTCGATGTTGATGCAGGGATCTTTGGACAACTCGAAAACCGAAAGCTTTGTGAAGAATCTGCAGATGACCGGAAGGTACTTGCGTGACGTGTGGTGATTGTTTTTTCCACACAACTAAAATAAAAGGGCTGTGATTTATTTATATCACAAATACGCGATTCATGAAAGTTTCGGGGAAATTAAACACCCGAAGCAAAAGGAAAGGCCAAGAGTGTTGTGATGTTAGTTCTTTGGATTCTTTAGATAACAAGTTTGTTAAGGATTTTTCTTTTCTTTTTTTTTTTTTTTGGTTGAANATAATATGTATTGTATGATAAAATATTACAAAATAAATATCTTGAGACGATTTTAGGTACAGTTATTATATATGTTGTAGCCTTCCTAATGAGCGGGCAAAATGTGGATCTGACAGTCGAACATATTATGGTTTTTGCAACTTATGTATAATGGTAAGAGTTATTGTTATTATTCTATTATGTTGTTTCTGATTTAATTTCTTATCTAGCAACTATGTATAATGGTCGCACATACACTCGTGAATGTTTATTGATTTGAAATTTTGAACTGTAAAAAATCCAAATAAATTTGAAGTCCTGCAACTGTGTACAGTGCTAAAAGTCCTTTTCATATGAAAATTATGGGAAAGAAAATTATGTGATGTCTCAATGTGAGATGGGGTCTACAAATATGTGGATACAAATGTTGCCAGCAATAATTGCACTGACAACTCAACCAACAAAAGGTTGCAAATTGGAACCAATGTATGTGGTAGGTGGGGAATGTTTAATTGTAATTTGATTTGGTCTTGTAAGTAAATATAAGAAAATTTGGGGCAAAAAAGTGAGAAAAGAAAAGGAAGAAATAAAACTGGTTGGGAGCTGAACTGAAATCTGATTGATTTACACAAAAGTGAGAGCAAATTTAAGTGGTGCAAAATTTCAAGCCCTCGAAAAAAAAATAAAAAAAATTCAAGCCCAAAAGTCAAAGTAAAATAATTCAGAAGAAGGTTCAAGGTTGCCATTGATTTTCCCTTTTTCTTATCAATTAATCATATCTTTGGACCTTTTACGTATTAAACGTCTATTTAATATTTGAAAGTATGAAAAGGTGAAGAAAAGGATGAGTGGAGAACCAAAAAAGTAATAAAAAAAAATTAAATCAGAAGATAGAATTTCACGTGTTCAACATTCACCACTGATATAATATATGGACTTTGATAGATATTTTTTAATGTGAATTAAAATGATTTAAAAATGGACTTTGATAGATATTTTTTAATGTGAATTAAAATGATTTAAAATGGCTTAATAAGTTGTGATGCCTATTTAAGTTTACTTTTTTATTTAAATAATTTATTGATATTTTAAACACAAATTACATAGAAAATTTTACCATCAAATCTCACCTACAAACTTCGGATTTTCACAAATTTAGATAAAACTAATTTGTTTCTCTTTTTAAATATCAGATTATAAAAAGTCTTATTAAAACATCATTCCCAGAACATCCCTAAAATTAACAACAGCAGATATGTGCTTTTATAGATTTGGTTAGCTACAAACTTTAAAGCCTGTAAGGCAAGTCCAATAAATATCACATGCCATTGATAATTTTCCATGTACAAAATAAGAATACAACAGGTTGGTCACACAATTTCCCCTTTCATAATCAACTTGTGACAAAATCGAATTAATTGTTTAATTTGTTTTAATTTAATGCACACATACAGTTTTGCTATGAAGTCAAAACTGTGCACACATATAATATGTGTATACATATTATTTTATAAATAATGCACCCCATATTGATCCCTTACTCCTAGGGAACCACCCAAAATCACCAATTATTCCGAAACAGACAAAGATCAAAAGCATAATACGGTCAATGATATTTCATTTTCAAATTTCAACTTTTAGATATGTCTATGAAGGCAATGAGACAATGAATCAGTAAAAGAGAACGAGAACACGTTTTTAATAATAAAATAAAATTGTATTATGAAATTAAATATAAACATGATGCTCGATTCCCTCAAAACTATGTAGAGACGTATATAAAGATCACAAACATTAAATGAAATAGAAAATTATAAATGAAAAATCAAAATAGGAAATGTTGAAAGGACTAAAATATCAAGACAACTTGTTTACTACAGCGAGTTCAATCAAAATCGTTGTTCAACTTTCATAAATATATTATAATAGTGATTTCGAGCCCAATTAAAAAGTTGCATCCGTTTCAATTTTTTCCCACGAAAATAATTTCTTATCAGCCCTAAACTCGTCTTTTTACATATTCAACATCTCACAAAGTATCAAAAAACATCATAGCACATTTTTGAACTTATTACTAAATAACCAAAAATATCAATTCATTACTAATTATAGCACGCTTTTAAGGTAAACTTACTTTAATAAAACAAATTAGTTTTCAATTAATTGTTGGTTATTCCATATGCTTGGTACAAGCAACCTCACATGACACATGGTCTATTGAATCCATTCAAAGACGAACTCAGTTTTTAGAAAACAAATTGTTCCACGCAATAGAAGACTTTGAACATTTTTATTCATAATATATTGCCTCGCTGTACACACAGACACACACACAAAAATGGTTATAGTGATTTTATTTATTTATTTATTTATTTATTATTATGGCCTAGTGGAGTGCCTATTAATTGATCAATTAATTTCATGCCAAATCCATTGAATGGAGGGGCATTGATTTTTTGTGAGGCCTAATAAAACCAACACATCACCACACGCAATTGGAGATGGATTTAAGGTGCACGTATATTCTATAATGAGATTTCGTACTGTACAAAATTTCATTTTAAGAAATTAATATAGTGTAGCAAGTGGTGATGTTGATATTTTGAAATATTACACTTATAATTTGTTTCTCGATTTTCTTTATAGCAGCGAGGCACCCGTGCAGATCAAATATTAATAAATTTATATGCTCAACTTATATAATTGTCGTTAACAGAAAGGTCCAATATAAAGACAAAAATAATAGGGACCAAATATCAATTGATAGCAAGGACAAACATAATTTTGGAAATAAGTATAGGATTTTTTTGGCTGATATAGAAATTTTATGGGGATGAGAGATTATTATTATTATTATTATTATTATTATTATGAGGATGAGAGTTGTTCTTGATTAGTTTCTCTCTAACAATGTTGTACACTTATATAGGAAAGTTATATATGTAAGTATATTAGAAATACCAATATATAATCACTACTTCACAAGATCAAGATGTAAAGAAAAACTAATATATATATATATATATATATATATATGGGTCATTCGAGTCGAGTTGAGTTTGACTTATTTAATGAACTCAACAACTTAAATAACCATTCACGAACATGAAAAGTCTGTTCACAAACAAATTCGATTCGATTATCATTTAAAATCCATAAAAAATAAAAATAAAAATAAAATAATTTTATTCACTAATAAACTTGGTTCAGCTTGTCAACTAAATGAGCTAAATTAATATTATTAGTTTTGCTCGCTTAAGTAAACAAATAATATTAATTTGGCTCGCGAACAAATCAAGCTCAATTAACTTCGAAATTAAATCATACAAAATATAATTAAATCATACAATATTTTGGTATTGGTATTTTTTTGGAAAATTCATTAAATAAAGATGTATATGCTATTGGCCCATTTACACAATAATATTGTAGTATATCAAATCGAGCCTATGAGCTTCCTTCGTGCTAGCCCTGGTAAAAGCTCCAAAGCCTGAATTTCTGCTTGATAATTCCGTCGTATTCATACATTCATAACAAGCCCAATTGATGTTTTAAGAAACACAAAGTCCACTGACAGTGTATTATAATTGGGTTTTATTTTGTCTGCATAATCCCCACTATAAGTTGGAGCTCCTAATTTTACAAGCTTGAGCTTGAACTTTTGTTGAGCCAAACTGAGCATCGAGCCAATAAACGAGCTTGAACTCACTTATTTATTAAAATTAGCTAGACAAATTTGAACATCAATCGACAATTATAACAAGCACGGGATAAGCCTGAACAAGCACGGCAGCTACTGGAGCCTGGCAATAGCTCTCAGGCTGATGTTTGCCGATAATTATAACACAATCGACAATAATAATTAGTAATTACAATAAGATGAAAACTATCATAATAATAATGATGGCTGTGTTCTTGATCTTTCAAGTGCAGTCCCTGGACATGTGCATATAGCTTATGAGGACATGGAAAATGATCTGGTTTTAGTGGGTGACCTTAATTGGAAGTAAGCCTCTAATTCTAGTAATTATTTTTATTTACTTTCTTTTACCTATTATTGTTGAGTTAAATAATGTATGATGATGAATGCAGGGGTTTTGTGTGTGGTAAGAAAATCAGAATACTGCCAGAAAAGGTTAAATCAAGAAAACAGAGAGATGGGGCTCAACTTGATCATTTGATGAAACATTTTATTTTGATTTTCGTCCTTTTTTTTTAGCTAAAAACCACAAATAAAACCGATTTAAAAGCTCTCAGGCATTTGCTCAGAAGGTTGTGTATGAATCCAGTTTCCAAACTCAAAGGACAAAAAACCAACAATAAATAATAAAAAACAAGCACCAGTAAAATCTGCTTTATAATAAATTTCGAGTTAGTTTTTTTTATAATGGGCTGTCCCGCCATAATTTACCAGGCTCGTCCAGAAGAAATATCGAATTTGTTCTCAAGAATCGTAAAAAGGTTCAATTATTTTCAGCAGGAGCATAACAGTTTGGGGTTTGTTTTGATCGAATGTGAAATCAGGCTGCAGCCTTTTCGAACTGTGGAAGGCCCCACTCACCCGGGTTGAAGTCCAAGAGAGAGCTTATAGTCTGATCAGAAGTTTGGTGATATGAATTGTCCAATATTGGGTCCGGAACCATGACAACCGACCTGCATTGTAAAATTTGGTTAGAATTACCATGAACTAAAAGACGGTAAATATTTTTTACGTGCAAGAACCATTCTAAAGAATGACATGATTTCGTATACTGATGTTGCAGGATAGCTTCGACAAACGTTGGACTGTAATGAGATTTTTCACATATTTACTTATTACTGATAATATTGGATACTAAAGACAAATGAAGTAAACTGCAGATATTAACAGGTCTTTTGGTGCAAATGGATTTATCTTGGAGTAAGTTGAAAATTTCTTACGAAAAACAAGAACTTACATGCCGGCATTCTTAGCTGCCAATACACCAGATGGTGCATCTTCAAAAACCAGTATCTTGCGTGGATCAACTGGTCCACCCTGAAAACAAACAAAGATCAGTATTTTAATCAATTTAAGATAAGTATCAGACTCCCAAACTTAATTTAAGGCATCAAGAAAAAAAAAAAAGTTTTATCATAGAAAAAAATATAAATCACATCTCTTCATTCTACGACAATCCACTAGAGTTGATCAAACAACAGTAGTAAGCAACGTGCAGCGTTTTCTGCTCCAAAAAGAACTCTTTCCTTCTCCTATATGTTATCTTCTTGGAGTTAATTTATTCTTAGTTTTTTTTTTAAGAAAACACGGAGCTGTTTCTAAAAAAGTAAACCTCGAATCTTTTGGCAGCTGCAATGAACACGTCAGGTGAAGGTTTCCCTTGTTTGACTTCTGGATCATCACCAAGAACTACGTGATGCATCAGTGAAAAGAGTTCACGGTGCCTTTGAGTTTTCAACTCGAAATGCCTTTTGTGTGAACTGCAAGGTAAAAAAAAGATCAATGAGCATGCTTGTGAAATGTGTTAGAATGATATTACCAATTTTAGCCCCTAAATCTTCAGAAATTAAAGATAAACACGAAATGTACCCAGTTGCAACACAAATAGGTACTCCATTCGCGTGGAGGTGCTGAATTAAACGACTGGCGCCTGTAGTTTCAAAGTTATGAGGGTAAGAAAAAAATTAGGAGCAAAAAAGAGAAGAGATGCTTTGCCAGTTTTTGCAAGCAGGAAATGTGTACATGTAATATAATAAGGCCAAATAAATTAATCACATTTATTATGCAGCTCAATTTTGTGAGAAGCTCTTCTGGAAGGATGTATTAACATTTATTGGAGGTGTTCGAGCAATTTTTTGAGTATCTGATGCCTGAACTGAAGATGATTCTCCTGATAGTCTTTAATATAGAACCTCTTCTTCAACTTTGTATGTAATAGAAATTTGATATCTTTTGTTCCGTCTCAGCAAATTCTTTTTTTTCCGCAAGGGATCGTGATGTCTTTCTATGGAATCGCTGGTAAGAGTGACTCTTATATAGATTGACGCCAGAATAAAAATTATATTCTAAAGATAAATATATTACGCTTTCAAAATTCAAGGAGAAGGGAAAACCTCTAGTTGAATTCCACCCTGACATTCTTAAGTTGTGAAGAATATCTACTTATTTAGACACCACCTATTAATTTAAGGCATAAATTGTAAATATTGGCCCATATATATGTAAAACCGGTGCAGCTTGTAAATGCAATAAGTTCAGATAGGCTTTCAGCGGGAGCAAATGTTTTCTAACTGTTGCAGCCCCAGCAGTTCAAAGCACATAAATATATATATCAGAGACAAAATGAAGAAGGAAATGCGAAGAGAAGATTGAAAAACCCAAGGAGAAATTATTTTATCAGATACATCAAAAATTAATTAAACCTGGCATGAGTTCACACGAGGGGAATAAACTCCGCAGCATATCTTCTCTCTCTACAAGAAATTCTTCAGCTGAGAGTGAGTCACTGATTCCACTCTCTTCCACAAAAATTCGAGCAGCTTCTATTGCCTTCCTACCCATCAGTTTGGCCTTGAGAGACCAATCAAAAGTCTTATTGTATCTTGCAAGGATAATCTCTTGGACTTCCGTGTAGAACTTTTCTGTATCTGAGAATAAAAGGAAGAATAAAAGAAGAGAAAAAATAAATAAATAAAAGAAAACAGAACTGAATGCTTCTATTCAGAGTTGGATCCGCAAAGCTGGCGACTATGTTAAATTAGGACAGTGAATTACTTGTAGAACATTTTGGAAAGAGTAACTCTTAACATGCCCAAGAGGGATTCGAAAGACAAATAGATATAGTTTACCTTACCTTTGTAAAAGAAAAGATATCAAAAACAACAAAGCAATATACAATGCACTCCGTCGATTAAAAGAAAAGGGAACAATTAAGCTACCCGGTATCATTTGTTAAAAACTGGATCTCCCGTCATTGCCACCGAACATGAGACATTACAGAAAGTACTTATTGCCATATTTTATGTGCCTTACACTAACACAAGAAAGCAATTCAGTATCTGAAAGTTCATAAATATGATATATTTCATCGCTATTTCTTACAAGATCAATTATCAAGTCTACATTTCTGTATGCTACGAATCTAACCATTCGGATCCATTCTAACAGCACATTCTGAACAAATTCATGCCAACTCTTTGTCCTTTTTCCTAGAAACAGGGTTTTGGGCCTGAATACTTAATCCGGTCAATTACCGAGCACAAAACAAAATGAGACTAAGGCCTTGAACAAAGAAAGACGATAACTTCGCAATGAAAATTTAACCCGCTGTTCAACTAAGTGAAAGGTTCATTGTTCAGATCACGGAACTAAATCATGGTTATTTAAAAAATCTCACCAAGTCAAAACTCGAAAGAAGCATTCATTACTGAATAACAAGCATGAAAAACAACCAATGCAATTACAATGGGAAAAAAAAAAGTCGCAAAATATAGCACTCGCTGAAAAGAAAACTGTTTACAGCAAATTTGTTTCTCGGACTTCAAGGAAACGAAAAATTGGTTGGATTTCTGAATTCTTGGGCAGTAAAAATTACCTAATAAAAGGCCGTCCATGTCGAAAATAACGTGAGTGATGGATGGCTTGGTAGAAGGAGCTTCAACCATTGTAGATGGATCCGCCATTGGAATTGGACGAGCTCAGAAATTTGACCCACGAGAAAGAGAGTCCTTTTATCTGAAGGAAGTAGCTAGAGAGGAAAAAACGAAAGAAATAATACAAAAACTATTTAAACTTTAAATTATAAAATTACCTTAATCCCTTGTTTTCCTAAGGGCGTGTTTGGTTCAACGGAGTGACCATTTTCCACACACTACACCTCTTTCTACTCATTGTCCATGGCGGCGTCGCTCTTCGCCACCCGGCGCACGTTAGCCTCCCTCCTATCCCGCCGGTCTCGTCTCGCTGTTCCCATGCTAATTCACAGTCAGAACCAAGGCGGGCAGCAACCTCTTGTGGATCGGTTCACGGTTCAAACTCGACTGAGGACATCCGGCCCGGGCTATTCCCCACTGAACGACCCATCTCCTAACTGGAGCAACCGACCGCCGAAGGATACGATTCTCCTCGATGGATGTGATTACGAGCATTGGCTCATTGTGATGGAATTCAATTCTGACCCTAAGCCCACTGAAGAAGAGATGATTGCTGCCTATGTCAAAACCCTAGCTTCGGTTGTTGGAAGGTAAAGCGCAAACGGAATCTATATTATTTATCTGTGAAAGAATTGATTTCGTTTTGGTTCAAGTTCATTTTTTTTCTCTCTTAAATTTCTAATCCTTGAACAAATTGGAATATAGTGGAGTATGATCCTCTGTCAGAGTGGTTATCAAAGTCGAGAAAAGAGAAGAAATTCTGAAGGCCATGTGTTGTAATTGTGTTCTGATGTTGAAATTAAAACTCACATGATTTGATTATGTAGAAGGATATGAATGATTGTACTTTTTGATTCTAAGAGGTAGGAATTTGAGTCTATAGTAGGTTGATTGTGGGACTGTTGATGAGGAGTCTCTGGGATGAGGTTTTAATCTCCATTCATTGGCGCAAGATTCATCGCCACTTAGCAAGTCGAAAATTTCTTGGAAGTTGATAGGTGATTGTACATGTTAGGTTATTTTTTTTCGTGCATCTTGTTATCTGGTTTTGTTTTTTAATTGATTGACGAAAACGATTTAAAGCATAAATTTTTAAGTTCCAATTAGTTGTCCTAGAGAAGTTAACAACAAGATGGCTGGTACCTCGAACTAGTGGGCAAAATATTAAAAAAGTTTAAGGAAGAAAGTAGTTTTGATTTTGTAATTTTGTTGTAAATGGAAACGGGGCCAGTGTATTTCTTCATATTTGTTGAAAGGTTTGATTCATGAGAACAATATTTTGTGGAAGTTGATTTATGCATGTTTATTGTTTTGCTGGGTATGTAGTGAAGAGGAAGCAAAGCAAAAGATATATTCTGTTTGTACGACAACATACACTGGATTCGGAGCCTTGATCTCAGAGGAACTATCATACAAAGTCAAAGGTAATACTGGCTAATTTTTAAAGTATCACAGAGTTATTCTGGCTTACTCAATCTTTCAGTTTCTTGATATACTTGGATGATTTATTGGGAACCTGTCATTCTAATTCATGTCGATATATTTTGGTTTATTTTTATATTTTCACGGTTCGCCCAATTGGAAATGTTGTTGCATAAGATGATTTCAGCTTTCATTTGATGTTTACTCGATCATCATTAACTGTGTCTTGTTTTGGGGTTGACCCAATTAGTTGACAGTTGTGCATTGTTTTTCATAAACAATAGGTCTACCGGGTGTTTTGTGGGTATTGCCCGATTCATATCTCGATGTTCCCAATAAGGACTATGGAGGTTAGCAGAATTTATATATGAAAGTACTTTCATAACAGTCAAAGGTTATTTTTTGTCATTAAGGCAGTTCTTCGTGAAATTTTGTTTGCAGGCGATCTCTTTGTTGATGGGAAAGTCATTCACAGGCCACAATATAGGTTTACTGAGAGACAAAATACGAGCAGAAGGCCCCGCCCAAGGCACGATAGACGTCGTGAGACAATGCCTGCACAGAGAGAGCCAATACAAAGAGAAAATTCACACTCTAATCAGCAAAACAGGGGTCGGAATGCAAATTAAGGGAACTTCGAGTGTGTGGGGAGTCAAATATTGCATCTATCGACTGAAGCTTTGTTTGTTGCATCTTCCTTGATGATCAATGTTCACTTCACTTGTCTATTAATCTGAATATTTGCACTTTTTTTGTGTATGTGGGTTGATTTGAACTGTTTGTGTCCCTTTCTATTTCTGCTCAATCACAGTATCATTTTCTTGATAGTAAACTGCACAAATGGAGTTGAGTGCGATTGAGTGCTCTCTGGTTTTATTTTCTTGGAAAATTATGTGCAAGTGCAGTTTGTTTTGTTAATGGGATTTTTAAGTTGGGTTTTAGCTCATCAAATGAAGAATACTGCTAAGTTGTGTTTTCTTTGATATATCTAATTAACTGATTTCAATTTCTTTTTTTCTTTTTTTTTTTAAGTTTCAACTGTTACCCTAAGTTTCATCTATTAATCACATTTAATTGATTTATGTGTTTTTGTTAATATCCAATTAGATGGATCTGTAAATATTTTTTCAAAATTTAGTGTCAATTGATCGTTGGGACTAGAGTAATAAATGTAAAAAATAAATAAAAATTTGGCTAAATTTTTGTTTATCCCCTTCTTTTTTCTTTCAATTTGGGACAAAGAAAAAAAAATGTGTAAAAAATTTCTAAAGTGCCAACCATAGCAAATTGCTCTGCTAGTATATATAAATGGGTCAATGTGGATGCCCTAATAATAAATATGTTTGTACCCACATGTATTCTCTTTCAACAAGAAAAACAGGTTCTGAATTTTCATGAGGCACCATTTTTCCATACAAAATAATCATATCTACTCATGCTCCAGCCAAGTGAAAATTGCATGCAAATAGACCAAAGTTCATCATACATTTGCTGTATATCATTGCCAGCAACCCAAGAAAAAAAAAAGAATAAAAAATAATTCTTAAAAACATTACAATCAACATGAATCCAAGACAATGCAAT